TGAATGTCATCACTTCTTCTCATAACTTCGCCTGATTGTGTGCCAGGAGTGCGCGAACTCGCGCAGCGCGATCCAATTACTACGACTACTCGTGAGGTCCTGGTGATAAACAGGTCCTTAATCATGCCCATCAAGGTACAATATAGGTTATAGAACACGCGAATCTAAAGACGTCAACTGCTGGACAAACGTCTCTCGCGTGAGGCCTCCGAAGCCTGCCTGTGCTACAGGCACAAGACACTTCATGATCATTCCAAAAACTAGTAACATAAAAAAGGCTCACGCTCACTTTGTAGAAGTTCAACTTCAGTTTTTCTACAGAAGAGCGTATTGACAACGCCTTAGTCTTGACATCTTTGTAATCTTAGTTGTTACCACCAAATGCAGTTTAAATCACCCATATTACCTGTAAATAAGGGTCACCTTAAATACTGGCTAGTTCAGTGATTCGTCCCACAACACGTTCTGAATTAAAAAAAACACTGAATTAAAAAAAAAGAATATTTTTCGTTCTGGATTCGTCCCATTTAATTTATTCTATAACATAAGCTTCTTTTATTTCATTGACTTTCTGACGGTATTTAGTACCGATATGTTAAATATTAAATTCAATGAGACGAATCTAGAACGAAAAAAAAATTATTTTTTGAATTCAGTGTTTCGTCCCAGTGGGACGAACCTGTTGTGGGACGAATCACTGAACTAGCCTTAAATACTTATTTCAGGGCAGTCCATTCCCATGCGCTGCGCGAGTGTCCAAGGCCCACAGCGGGCAATTTCATTGCTGCGCGTTTTGCTCGTCGGGCGGCAAGCGTGACGTCACTTGCGGCTGCGGCGCCACCATGGCTGGAGGGTATAAAGGTAGGGACTATAATTTGGGATATGAAAGTACTTCGGCTGTATTTACTTACTGACAGAAGACGAAACATTTAGTCTTGATGTAGATTCTCATTACACTAGGTTTAACTTTTTAAACTAAACTTAATATTGTTTCTTTTTTGTTATTTATGGCTTCTTGCGTCAAGAGAATCTGAAGTTGACACTGTTTTGTTTCATTTGCCTAAATTGATGCTCGTTCACGAATACGACGGTTGGGGAGAGACCTAGGCTGTGCCCCGATTGCGCTAATTTTAACGTCTCCAATACAGACGCGCTTCTTCGATTCTGCGATACAATTGGTCAAAACAGTTGACGCCAGCTGACTCTGATGTCGCCCTTACGACAATCACGGGAATAGTGGGGTTGTATTCTATTGTGCCAGAACAAAACTTTAGAAAAAATAAAACCTGACAAATATGGCGCTCGTTTTATCAAGAGTAAATATAAATGAGTAGATAAGGGGGCGTCCATAAATTACGTGAGACAATTTTGGCCATTTTTCAACCCCCCCGCCCCCCTTGGTGAGATTTGGTGAGATTTTGCCTGACCCCCTCCCCCACCCCCCTAATCAGTAACCCAGTGTCGTGCCACGCGCAGTGCAGGGTTCCGTAGCTTCCCGTCGTTTAGTAAGACAAGCAATTGCTTCAACCTAGGACCAGTTTTTTGATTCATAATTAAAATAAATAATTGTTAAATTTTGCTTCTAATGGTTAAATATTAATAAAATGTAAACTAATAGTTAAAAAATGTACTATTAAGTCAAGTTAAACATTGTTAAAAAAACATTTTTTTCTGTTATTTAACCACTTGTCATTTGACATCTGTCAAATTTGACTATTGGTTACTTTAACTACGAATACATAATATTTTCAAAATTATGTAATGTCATTTTTTAGGGTTCCATAGTCCTGACAAGGAACCCTTATAGTTTCGATATGTCTGTCTGTCTGTCCGAGGTTTTGCTTGGAAACTATTCGCACTGAGGAGCTGTAATTTTGTGAAGGTATGTATGTTACGGTTAATGTGATAAATTGAAAAAAATATTAATAATAACCGGTTATTATGAATAATTCCCGACTGTCGCGGTAAAAGTGATAAATTAATCACATTTAACAGTGATTATTTAATAATTCAACCTTAGTACTAACAAATTTCATAAAAGAGAACAACATCTTGTGTACATGCTCGTGTACAGCCAAACTTTTGGACGTTTTGATATCATATATTAATATAATTTGGCATAATAAGTTTGGAATGTTTCTTGCATAATATTACTTTTCCATGATGCCAATAACATAATGTTTTGATTTAAAGTGAAAAATAGGTTAAGGTGCGGCGGGGGTGGCCCTTGGGCCACCCCTAAGTCGCCTATTTAGTTTTATACACACATAAATACCCTCATATTAATTACATTTACCAAATCATGCGGTAATTATTCACAATAACCGGCGATTATTCATAATTTTCACATTTATCACTTTGACCGTAACATGTATATTAATCACGCCGACAAAACGGTAAAATAAAATTTCTAGGGTAGCTCCCCTGCATGTAAAGTGGGGATGAATTTTTTCAAGGAAAACTATAACGGTTAAGATAGATTACTTAGTTTAAGAGTAATAATCATTTGACTCATGTATTATACAATTTCTTAACCGGTAAAAATTCCTTAGAAGAAAATATGAAAAGTGACTTTAGATGAAGAAGTAATTGCTTGCTTCTGAAATATATTGTGGTAACGACAGACAACTACGGAACCCTACACTGCGCGTGGGACGACCACGACACGCACTTGACCAATTTATTATGCAATAGCGATGCTGATGAAGTTTTTTTTTAATTTCGAAATTCTTAATTTCGACATTTATTCTGCATCTTTAGTGTTCACAAATGCAGATGGAAGCATTTTTAGTTTAATTTGATTAGACGGTTTGGAATAAATTGTCATTATCATCATAAAAAAATCATTTTTTTTTTACTTCAATAACCCATTTTTCTGGCAATTTTACTCTATTCCTTGCGGGAAAAATTACGTGATATTTTCCGAGACCCCCCCTCTCCCCTACGTGAGATTTAGTGAGATTTTCGTTGACCCCCTCCCCCCCCTAAAAGCCTCACGTAATTTATGGACGCCCCCTAACAACTTATAGAATTAATAGTTAAAGATTGTCCAGCACCTGCACAGTGGGAAAAATACTGCCTTTCTTGGACAATATCGGGGACAACTTCCTACTTTTTTATATTTTTAAACCGGCAGACAGTGGTGACTGAGTTTGTTGCGGCGCTTCTTCTCAGCACTTGCCAAATGTTTGTCTCGAAGCGCTGGTAGGGCAAAAAAAGAATGAGACATGTATAGGCTCCTTAAGAGCATTTGACGATTGCAAGAACTAATTTAATTAGTCTAAACAAATAAAGAAAATTTTGATTTTGATTTTGAATACGTTTGCGGCGTGCACGCACACAGTGCACTGACAAAATTAGGCGCAACAATCCGCTAATCCCCGCTAAATTTTGTCAGTGTGTGCGTGCGCGCCGCATACGTATTGGCGCACTCACATACAAACCGAACCGCGCTCACATACAAACCGCGCTCGGTGCGTTTCTATGAAGATGACCTACTCATTTGCATTTACTCTGCATTATCGCTTTCCTGGTGTCCACATTTATGTATTTATTTCCCAGGCTGCGGGCACGGGCACGCGGGCTGGCCGGGCGCGCGGCACTGGTCGTGCTGCGGCAGCACGCAGCGCCGCGGGCTGTGCCGAGCGCGCCCTGCCACCTACCAGTTCTCCTTGTAGCAATACACGCATCTATTAAACTTGCGTTTTATTTTATAACCCTTCCCATTGCAACATAAACAGTAGGCGCGCGAGTTCATGTCCATTGGGGCCGCATTCGTCCGCAGTTGAGTGTTGTCCTTGACGACGGTGACGCGTGCTTGTCGACATTTTGTTTTTGTGTTGTTATTTTGTGTAATTCATGAGTACTTCAACAAGTTCAGGTAGAAAAAAACCTTTTATAATTCATAAGCAAGCACGAGAAATGGCGAGAAATGTCCTACAGATGTGCGTCGACGAAAAAAAAGATAGTAAATTAAAGCAATTTCTTCGAGGCAACCCCAGTAAACCCCACATGTAGGAAGTGTTACAGAAATGTATAGTTTACTTGCTTATAAGTTGCAAAAAATATGGAATAGATAAGGTTGACCTACTTAATTGGTAATAATTATCGATATCGACATTAGCATAATTAGTTAGGTAACAGCACTACCGCATTCCTCAGGATGGACATGAACTCGCGCGCCTACTGTATATGCAACTCTTGCAAGGCTACTTCTTTACGTAGCTCACACTGCCCTCTCGCTTTGGACGAAAGGGATGGAAATATACACTGTCACCAATACATACACTTCTTTGACTCTGATGCGCTCGGAACCGCGCGTTTTTGGCCTGTAGTAAAATAAATTAAAACAGAAAAGTGTAGTTGACACCTCTGACTATTGAGTAGTCTACTTTTTCTGAACCCTTTACACCAACGAATACTTAAATAAATAAATAAATACTCGAAAGAGGGTTACACCATTAACGAATTACTCCAAGAGACCGAAGAGAATTTATCCACAACGAGGAAACTCTTGGCCTATATCTCACCTTCTCGAAATTAGCACACTATTCTATACATAAACATGTAATAGAGGTCAATTGAAAATTTGGTGACATTAAATGAAAATCAGGAGTACTAATTCAATTCAATTTATTCAATTTACAAACAGTTATTGCTTTATATCTTCACCGCCTATAAATTCTATCAAAGGGACCTCTTAGAAACCTACAGATTGGACTACATTATTGTATAAAATTGATCCCGTGTTGATAAAGTAAATTTTGTACGAATCAGTTCGGTTATTGCATGCGAATGTTTAAAATTGTAGCTCATCATAACAATAAATTAACCTCAAATCTAAAGTCTGGTCCGGGAGCACGTAGAATTTTGTCCAATGACCCCAAGCAAAATAATTACGCGCGAGCGACAAGGATGGGTAGCTTGGGGTCATTGGACAAAATTCTACGTGCTCCCGGACCAGACTATAATAGGGATCCAATAAATCTGAGTTATCCTTGATTTTTAAATTATCACAGACAAATATCACATCTGCAAACATTTTTAACTTAATACATATAAGAAATAAAATCGCGTATCAATACCATCAGAGGATCCCTTATTACATAATGGAGATAAAACATTTAGGAACATTGGAAATAAAATATAAAATACAAACATAACCCAATGAAATCTTCAGTTCTGATAACATACATACATTACACAATACTTCAGTGGCTTCTGTATATAATTTAAGCTGCCTTAGAGCTTTTTCACAGTTGCGATTTGATCGGAGATTTCATGACAAGGCGGTATCGCGTTGATTTTGTTATAATTACGCTACAATCGCGCTACGATCACGCTACGCTGCCCTTAGCATACGCCACAATTTAAATCGCTTGACATAAATAGATGAAGGGCCAGTCAGTTTTAAACAGTTAAATTAATTTTAAATAATCAAGCAATGTATCATAAATTGAAGAAATAAGACGGATAATTCATTATTCTCACTCAAACGCTTCGGATACATATCAAGATAATACGTTGTATCTTGGAAGTCATATTATTTTTACTACATAAAATATTTAAAAATATCTTGAAAATATTTTCATACTTACCTAAAATCATAAAAAAATACTTCACAATAATATGCTTAATACTAATAATCTTCATAATATAATTCACAAACCGCATGCATTTTCACTAACTCAATTTTTTCTAAGTTTCACTTTGAAAACGTGACATTTTTATAATTTTCACGCCAATACATTCTCGAAAAGTGAAATCATATAATTTCTTCAATGACCGATTGTTGCGTTTGCAATAATTTTTAAAATGTTATTTGACATCTCGTCAAGGTCTGGTCAACACTATAAATAAAGTCTAAAATCGCTGCATAAAGCGAGGTTCAGACTTAGGCCCATAACAGAGGGTGAAACGCAACTGCAACGAAACTGCAACTGCTAGTTACTTTTTTTGAGTTGCATCTAAGTTTTTGCTATAGCGTCCGTTGAGAGACCACACATGACGCGACCAGTTTGAAACTTTCGTTCGTTGCAGTTGCGTTTCACCGTCAGTTCTGGGCCTTATGTAACGCAAATCACGTGGATTCGGCGCGAATTCTGCAGTTACTTATTTTGAGGTCTCTGTTCGCTCTTACAACATAAAAAGTAATGTTCGTTCGTTACATATCATTTACACAAGTCTGAACCCCGCTTTCAATACCCACTATTAGCGCCCAGCAAACGAGGCGTAGACAAGGCCTAAATGCCGCCACTATGATACGACGGCCTAAGACGGCTGTAGGTCTAGGATACGTGCCACGATAAACTTTTCTCGCGCCTGTTTATCGATTTTACGCGACAATCTCATATGTTTGTCGTCTAAAAACATCGATAAGATTATATCACGGCGCGCATCCTAGCCCGGCTGGTATGGTGATCAAAATTTTGTTATGAAATTACTGCACACTTATTTAGTGTTGACAATAATTTTCCATACATGAAAATCGGAACTCATTATGAATATCTGTTATTATCGTATGTTGCATGAACCAAATTCGTATTTTGGATAATTTCCCACGTTTAGTTCTAAAAGTAATAAAATTATGAGTTTTCCATAAGAAGAGCAATAAACTACGACCAACTGCATCTCTTGCAAGCTATAGCCCTTTGAAAATGGTCCACATTTTTTGGAAATTGGTTTCTACTGGGCTAAAGGTGCCAAAAGTAAAATAGGACTTTAGTATACCAATTTTATACACTTTAAACAGTCTTCAGAGACTGATATGACAGGTTTATGGTGCGTCCACACTGGATGAACGGGTTCGCGCGGCAAACTCGACATCCTGCTCACTCAAGAGCAGGGTGAGCAGGATGACCAGCATGCCGCGCGAGTCCGAGCGCCCAGTGTGGACACACCATTATACGATCGACGAATGAGCATATTCCAGGTCCTCACTCGGAACTTTTCTTTTGTTTTTCTTTTACGGTATTCCCATAAGTATTTCATAACGCTGCAATGCTTAGCGTACATCAATTTCTATTTTACGCTAACTCCATTGGAACTCCACAGCAACAAAGGTTACTGACCTTACCTAGGGTTGTCGCTGCGTCATTTCTTAAAGTCCTAGCGCGGGCACAGGCGTATACGTGATAGGGCTGGGCGCGCTCGCTTGACGCACACTCATCTCCCACGCGTCGAGGAGTTGTCCCACGGAGCATTGTTTCGGTAACCTGCGGGAGGAAAATATATTGTAGAAACGTGTAGTTGTAGCTTATCTACGATAGTTGCAAAAAGTCAATCAAAATCAATCTTCAAGGCTACCTTTTCACGGCAGTAGACGTGGCGGAGCGATGAGCTAGGTCATAATCCATCAAGAATTGTATTAACAGCTTGAGTCCCAGACGGCATACATTAATGCCATAACAATGAGGGCTATCGTTTTAGCGCTCACCAGTTAGCGCCACTGTAGAGTAAGGTCCTGTCACTTGCTAGTAGCGAAGACGGTGGCGCCAACTTGTGAGCGCTAAAGTGGTAGGAGGACTATCGTATTTGCACTCATCAAGATGGCGCCACTGTAGAGTAAGGTCCTGTCAATCGCCAGGGGTGCCAACTGTTAAGTATAAAAACGATAGCCCTCATTGATTTATCTATTGTGTCTAGATTCGCGGGCCTTGAAGGATTAAAACCTCCACTCCTCTTTAGGGGACAGTGAGTTGCATTGTTCAAAATAAAACTAATTTGAAACTCCGCTTTGCATAAGTTCTTGCTCCGTTCCGCTACTTCACTCCACCCCGGTGGAAAGGCAGCATAACTGAATCGAGTTTCATATAACATATTACTTCGTTTAAGTCAGTGATCGGTAGAAAAAAAAGTAGCTTTCTGTCAGCTTTTACGTGAAGGCGCAGTTGTGCTCCGTTTACGTTTCAGCTTCGATTGAACTAGCTGTCAAAACGATACTGCGATACGGATTTGTCAAAACAGCTGATGTCCAGTCGCATTGCAGTTGAAAATGTTTAGCGCAATCGGGGCTCTGGTATTACTGTGATGACGTCACCTGGCCACGCGCGCCTCCCACGCGCGTTCCACGCGCGCCAGGAACGAGTCGGGCGCGTCGGGCTTCGCGCCGCGCAGTCGCAGCCGGCACGGCGCGGCCAGCGGGTAGTCGCGCGGCACCGACACGTGCACCGGCGGCACGCACGGCAGACGCGCGTCGTCTAACTGCGCGACCAGGGATATGGCGCCGATGCCGCCTGATAACTGCATGTTGTCTAGGGACACCTGGAAAAGTTCAATGATTGATATAGCCACGACAGCCGAACGGTGAAGGGGTCGGAGTGGCCGACTCGAGATCCGAGGAACGCGGGTTCGAATCCCACCGCCGCAAGACTATTGTGGTGAGCCCACTCGTAACACAAGCTTATTTAGCTTACCACGAGAGGCTAACGGGACTATTAGTAATTTGGTTAATACAAAAAAAAGACAAGACGGTCGAAGGCATGAGGGAGTTCCTCCATGTTCAGTGTTCTGTCAACGGTAAAGTGACGTCAACGCAACGTACGAGTATGCGCAAGCGCTAAAAATTGAGCTACGCTAGCATGGTCTCTAAGTTTTGGGAGCAACCGCGCAAGAAGCTGCGAGTAGCTATATAAAAAACCCGGTGAAGTCTGAGTTTGAATCGCGTACACACACTTCACCCAATTCATAGTTGCATAACTGGTGCGTCGAAAACACATCGCGAAACCATACTGCAGAGCTAAATATTTGACATTTGCATCCTTACCTTAAACCTGGAGTCTAGCCTGGCGATTTCTCCTTGAAGAACATCAGGTATATCCATGACTGGCTCTTCTAATTTTTGCGTCTTGAGCGGTGGTGGTAGATTCCTAAAACAAACAACACTATTAAAATCTGTTGCTCCTGTCAACCCATCGATGGTTCGTTTCAGCCAAATGACGTTTACTGCTAGACCAAGGCCTACCCCAAGGATCATCTCCCCGAGTAAGAATCGAAAATAAAACACGATTGGGAGTAACACCAGCACGGCGAATCCGCAAGGAATCCACGAGCAAGCAGTGACCGATCACTGAATAGTTTTAGTGTGTTTTGAATCGTTTACTCGAGTAACATTATTGAGTGATGTCTCTAGTATGTAAACGAAACGGTGCTCAACTCTGAGGCAAACTAAATTGCACCATATTATTGACGATATTGAGTAAAGCCTGGTCCGTGAGCACGTAGAATCCCGTCCAATGACCCCAAGCTACCCGTCGCGCTCGCACACTCACTGCGGGCGCCCGTCGCACAGTCGCGACAGCAACATAATTACAGAGCGATAGGGATGGGTAGCTTGGGGTCATTGGACGGGATTCTACGTGCTCACGGACCAGGCTTTAGACATTTTTAAAATACCTTTGCGAAGAAATTCTTCTGTAGGAAGCATATTATTATTCTGTTATTTGGCTTTGGCTGAAACGAAACGAATCTTGACTAACCTGATCTCGGGCCCGTTGAGCGCGTCTAACGTGGAGCCGAAGGTACGCTTGAGCGTGTGGTTGGCCAGCGGCGACGACAGGCAGTTGTTCACTACTTCTAGCAGAGGATTGAAGATCTGCTCCTGTTGGGGACAAAGGCAAATGTTAAGCGTAGCTCGCTACGAGTGCTAATCGGTCGCTAACTACTGAACTGACTACCTCTCGTTCCAATCGTTGCAACTCCTGTGTAGCCAGTATCTACAGCTTGACCGCCAATAAAACCCATCCACTAAAGGTCAAGTTTGTCCCGGAGGAAAGTCAAACTGTCATTAGACCCGCAACGAAATTAATCAGAAAAACTGTAATATAGGAGTTCGAAGGTAAGGTTCGACTTCCGTCGCGACTCAAATTATACGCTCTATTAAAAATTTGGAGAAGGCAAACTTCAAGTTCAGTTAGCCAGCTCACAGTTCACTGAATGAACAGAGAGGAGAAAAGGGGCGGAGTTGAGAAAAGGGGCGGGGTTGAGAAAAGGGGCGGGGCTGAGAAAAAGGGCGGAGCTGAGAAAGGGGGCGGAGCTGAGAGAAGCGGACCGGACCTTAACTAATAAATAGGTCCGTTTTCCAAAGAGGAGACGAGATGCGTTATAATAAATACAAGTAACCAATAAAATTAGTTTTTTACGCGTTTCATCCCGCTCAGTTTCAGTAGAAACAGTTAAGCAGAGCGGCGAAGACCTCCCGCGGAGTGGATATGTTATATGGAGGTATTCTGGTGGAAATAACTTGATCGCTATACCGCTCGTCTCCTCACCGCTTATTTTCTGCTCTCCTAAAACAACATTGTTACTAATCCTTACTAACAATCTATGGATGAGTCTGAAATATGTCACAACTTACACAAATAACTTTCTTTCTCTGTTGACAACATATTTGTTGACAGATAACCTCTGAGAAGGCAGGATAAATTTTTATTTATTGAACAGGAGAATAATTATTTATTTATTGATTTACAATCTTCAATAATGACGTCACTGACCTTCCCCGGCGGGAGTCCCACGACGACGCCCTCGCTACGCTTGAAATCAAGTTTCTCTAGCACCACCTCGCATTTGATCAGGGTTTCAAGTGGCATCCGCTTGTTCGGGTTCGATAGGATGTCCAGTAGGTTCTTCATTTTGGTGAGTTTCTCCACGTCTGAGGAAAGGAAAAAACCGTCTATTGGGTACAACATTCAATTCCTGTGTGCTTACCATGAGTTTACGTTAGGTGTGCTCGTTAGCGAGTGAGTAAAAAAATCTATGAAGATTTTTTTTATGCATAACAGGGCAGTTATTTGACCACAATCGCACCTGAAAAGTAGCCCCTAGGGGCGCTGTACAATGTGTTTATGTCATACATTTACGGCCTTTTAATAAAAGTTACACCCTAGTTGAACTCTGGCTTAAGTTGTCATTTAGTATGGAAATGTAATTTTAATCCAAAGTTCATTCTAGATGTGAATTTTTATTAATAAGGAATTAAAGTAATTTTTAAACTCACTATACATGTACCACACTATTGTACGCTTTTAAAAGAGATGGTAGATTTTGTTGGCAGTTTTTAAGTGCTTAGAAAATTTACTCCATCTTGCTTCTGATGAAAAAAAAGGGAACAAAGTTAAGGGCAGTACTCACTTTCTCCCTCGCTAGCCATCCGGTGTATCATCTTCCTCAACGGCTCGATGTACACACACCGGCAGATTTAGCGGAACGCAAAAAAAAGTATGAAAATAAGGAAAATTACTACTGATCTATGAAATATTTATTATACAAAATAAAGAGATAATTAAAATAAAATAACATATATTTTTTAAATATTTAGTCGTTTTTATTTAATAAAAAATCATCGAAACGAAATTTCAATTTTTCAGTTTTGAACACAAATTAGAAATTGTGGCCAGATTAAAAATTAGGGTAGCTTATCACTATCCAAATGAATGAATTAATGATGGGTATTTCCCCCTCTTGCTCTGATGATGGTTTCCATTCATCTGAGCATGCTGCAGTTAATGATATGAAGGGTATTTTGGAGCAATGTCTGCCATTCCTCTAGTAACGCGTTTCTCAACACCACCGGTGGTATTCTGAGTTTAACACATCTTTTAAGAAAGTCCAAGACATGCTCTATAGGATTCTTGTCTAGGGATCTTGCCAGCCACTGCATCATGGGTATATCCAAATGGTTTAGATGTGCCTGTACTGAGCGAGCACTGTGAAAACGAACATTATCGTGAATTAAACTAAAGGAGTCCACAATAAATGGAGTAAATGGCACATCATGTTCTTCTAAAATGTTCCTAGTGTACCATTCAGAAGTCGTATTTCCTCCATCACCCACCACTAACTCCGTGCGAGCTCCCAAAAAAATCCTTCCCCACACCAGAATTAAGCTACCTCCATAAACCACGATATTTTCAAAATTAAGACTAAATGTTACGTTCTCTTTGTGTCTCCATATTCGCTATCTTCCATCGATCTGGTTTAAGAGAACTCTGCACTCATAAGTGAAGAGATCATGCCTCCAGTCGTTCAAGACCCAATCACGATATTCACGTGAAAAGTTCAATATGTTTTTTCGGTGCTGTGTCACAAGTTGGAGCTTTCTCGGGTATGCACGACCCTATACCAACTTCAGTAAATCTCCTGTGAACTGTGGGCTCAGTCACTCTTACTCCTCGAGTGTCTTTAAGGTTATTTCTGGCTTGAACAGCAGGTAACCGCGACTTTCTGAAAACTCGAAGTTGTAAAAAACGGTCATCCCGTCGCGAAGTACGCCTTTTTCTGACTTGAACCCTCCTCCTAACGACAGAAATGATCAATCTGTACCGTTGGTTACTGCCATGGGTGGTCGATACTGATCAACGACGTCTTACGGCAGCCGATTTGTATGCATGGCCGTTACTTCTCATTTCATCTGCCTTAATGATTTCTGACGGTGCTAAGCTGGGCATAATAAACCCTTATAAGTAACTGAATGCTTACACAACAAAATTCTCAGAAAAAAACATCTTTCACGTAAAAGAAATCCAAATTAGCAAAAGCTTCATTCAATTCAAAACACTCAACGAAACTGTTGATGGGGTAATTTAAACAAAATAATTAAAAAAATATACTGTTGGCAATTTTTTTTTTCATATTTAGAATTAAATTAAAAAATAATGTCATAATTAGGCATTTTTTTCCTAAAATAATGATGATATTGATGCTTTTTTTTCCGTTCCTCTAAATCTGCCGGTGTGTGTATTTGGACAGCTGTCTGACCTTCTCCCGGTAAGCTGCCACCTCCCCCGGGGGAGGCTACACCTCTAATAGGAATAAATAAACAAACTGATGTCTAGTATTCACTCTCTCCCTCGCTAGCCATCCGGTGTATCATCTTTCCAGCTTGTACTTGAAATGCCTTTGGAGTGATACCGGACTTTCTCTCAGTAGGCTGTCTCTTCCCACCATTGTAAGTAAAGGGGGGAACCACCATGCCCATAACTACACGTCTAATGGAAGAAGTAACTAACTATATCTAGTATTCACTCTCTCTCTCTCGCTAACCAAAACCATCCAGTGTATCATTTTTCGCAACAGCTCGATGTACTTGGACAGTCTCCCGGGGGAGTATACGACTCTAATGGAGATAAAGTAACAAACTTATGTCATTAGTATTAACTCACTTTCTCTCTCATCCGGTGTATCATCTTCCTCAACGGCTCGATGTATTTGGACAGCTGTCTGACCTTCTCCCGCTAAGCTGCCTCCTCCCCCGGGGGAGGCTACACCTCTAATAGGAATAAAGTAACAAACTAATGTTCTAATACTCACTCTCCCCCTCGCTAGCCATCCGGTGTATCATCTTCCTCAACGGCTCGATGTATTTGGACAGCTGTCTGACCTTCTCCCGGTAAGCCGCTTCCTCCCCCCCAGGGGAGGCCACACCTGCCCCTACGGGTGTGTTTAGGGAAGATGAAGGGGACGCCACCATGCCCATGCCTACGCCTCTGTGGAGATAAGAATAAGAATGTCTTTATTCAGCACAATTTAAGGTATACAAAGCAAGAGTAAGTAAACATAAAAAATAAATAAAAACATATGCTGAATAGGCACCCACTCAGCAAAAATCGCGACATGTCACAAACGTCATGCCGAGAAGCTGGTTTTCAGCGGGAACCAATGCGTCATGAGGGTTGCGTGCCCTTCTGGTCGAGACCTGTGGTCGAGACGGTTTGATCAGGCAGAGTCAGACAAGTTATAGGCGAGTTACAGCCTGATTGTGGTCTGATGACACAGTGAGCCAGGTCAGTCTACTGGCCATTAGAAGGGTGATGAGATGAAGGATTATTAATGTATGCCGTGGATAATGGACATTTAATCTGTGCAAGACTCCAAATTAAAAAATATTTTAGCCTTTTGGTTTCGACAGAATAAAATAGGATCACCCCACTCTTTCCAGGGATATCAAAAAGAAAGAAATGTGCGAAAATCAAGCCTTCCCAAATTGTATTTTTCATTACTTTCTGGTAAATTAGAAGCAGTCTTGTAGTTAAGATTAAGAGCCTTCGCTAAAACTGCCTGACACGCGGTTCAGAATCGCAAATTAGTACGACCAAAGCACACGAGCTTCCGCGAAAAGCGTGCATTTCCATAAATTAATTCGTGAGAGCGCTGCGGACACCCACGGGAGTCTTAGTGAAGACGTTGGCGTAGTGAGCTGCCACACTGCCTCTAGTCGTGCATCTGTGGCGATTTCGCCGCTCCGCTTTGAAACTGCTTGTAATCCGCCAGTGTGGCAAGGTGTTTAATGACCTGATACCTCTCGTACGTCTGCTGGTGGTGCTGCAGATACTCTGCGACTCTATTTTGCACCGTCGCTATGATCTAGAACACCTGGCCTCTAAGGAAATACTCTTTCATCGTCTATTAGACTAGGCTCTAAAGGTCCTGTTATAGACTAATAGCCTCTGCTGCTCGTACCTCTGCGGAGGCGCGTGGTGCTGCAGATGCGTCTGCGGCGCCGAGGGCGAAGGGCTGGCCGCCTCACGCGCCCAGCGAGCTCAGCCCCCTACCAGAGTAAATACAAATGAGTAGGTCATCTATTATCATTTAGTGTGTGCGTGCGCGCTGCATACGTGTTGTCGCGCTCACATACAAACCGCGCCCGTGCGTTTCTATGAAGATGACCTACTCATTTGTATTTACTCTGATATTATCCTCTCTGTTAGTACCTTTGCGGCGGCGCGTGGTGCTGCAGATGCGTCTGCGGCGCGGAGGGCGAAGGGCTGCCACCACACGCGCCCAGCGCGCCCAGCCCCGACAAAGGAGACGGCATCGGCCCGCCGCCGCCCACGCCCACGCCTGAACCGCCCATCACGCCTGCAGAAGCGAATGTTTATTAAACCCACTGTTAAAAATGCTCACGTGACATTGGAGGCTTTATGTGTTCACTGTGGCGAAAAACTCAACGAAATTTATCAGCGATCGGCGAGTTTGCGACTGTATCAATGCTGAATCACGTTTTGGCGACTCTGCGTTCGATTGTAGTAGCGGAATCAGCGACACTATCGATGCAGCATCGCGATTTCTGACGCGGTATTGTAATCGCGCGTTTTAGCGATTGCTTCGATTCTGGATCGGCAACACTGCTGACGGAGAGATTTAAACGCTGTATCGAGCTTCCGAAAACCGACTCTATCGCCGCGTTTGACGTTTTTAAGTCTGCGGTGTAAAATGAGTAGTCGCTGAATTGGTTTTGGACACAGAACGTCATATTCGATAAATGTCATCGATCACTTTCTCAAAATCTTTTGCGAAAAGTGACCTTTTGCAAAAGTAACATTCTGCAAGTGACTTTTGAGAATTATGCGATGACATTTCGCGAATATGACATCCTGCGTCAAAAGTACTGAATTACACTAAGTCGCCGATCGCCGATGCTAAAAGTAACACGTATACCTAACGGGATTGAACAGGGCAAAACCGGCTAAATCAGACTTATGATAAGTAACAATTAAACTTGACCTTCATTGGTTGGGTTTTTATGGCGGTCAAGCTGTAGATCCTGGCTACACAGGAGTTGCAGAGGTGGGAATTAATTAACAAATAAATAAGAACTGCGATGTGAAAGTCATTGTTCAGCAGTGGACGTCCTATGGCTGAAATGATGATGATGATGAACTCACCCATCCCCACAGGACTAGGCCCGCCCATGTTGGGCGAGGGCGCGGAGGGCGAGGGACTCCGCCTCAGGAACTGGCTGGGCGGCGGCGCCCTGACCTGCGGGTAGCCGCCCACCAGCATGCCGCCCACCACTTCGGGCTTGTTCTGCACCCGCCCTTGCAATCAACTCACCCATCCCCATGGGACTAGGCCCCAACGATAGCAGCCCGAAGTACCGTATTTGTGGTGTCAAGCCCCAGAAGGGGGAGAATTGACTATGAGAAGGGACATGGATCAGATAAATTTGTAGGGAGTCAAGCAAAGCGCCCGGGGAAAAGAGCCCAGAGCAAGTACCCGCGCGCTCTCCCGAGATTCGGTTCGTACGCCGTGAGGCTGGAAGAACCATGGGTGGTATAGTCTGGTCCGTGAGCACGTAGAATTTTGTCCAATGACCCTTAGCTACCCATCCTTATCGCTCGCGCGTAATTATGTTGCTATCGCGCTCGCACACTCACTGCGGACGCCCGTCGCACAGTCGCGACAGCAATAATTACGCGCAAGCGATAAGGATGGGTAGCTAGGGGTCATTGGACGGGATTCTACGTGCTTTAAGAATGTTATTATGTAGCCAGATCTTACAATAATTGTTTTTAAGCCACAAATATTCCTTAACTATTTCCTAATTAATTCAATAACATATAGTTTATAAATTATAAGTTCCAAATAAATTAAATACCTATTAAACAAGTAAAATTCGAAAGTGACTGTATGATTTTGCATTTCTCGCCTTAACTAGCTAAACTAATATCATGAGATTTACAATCTTAATATCAACAATAATTATAGAAAGAGCTACTTTTTTCTCAGGAAATTGCACAGTTACCTCGGAATGTGCGATAGCAATTTTGTGACCCGAGCGGGCAATCGCTAGTTCAATTTTTACACGAAGCCCCATATAATATTTTGTAGCGATTCTTTATTGGGTTTCAAATTTGCTAAAATGCGACGTTGCCAAACTAGCGCCACGGATGCGGGTAAGCTAAGCAATACTCAATCCTAAACGCTTTACATAGAGCTTGGTTTGCTAGGGCAAACATCTACAGTGGTGCGCCGACGCTGCTTAGACCCGAAAGATGAATGAATGGGGGCGTAGCTTAATCGAGCGTGTGTGTGCAAACAATTTAGGCCCTTAAGGTGTCAAGGCGTCCGAGTCCTCGATAGTACGTTTGCCGTGTGTGTGCAAGACCGCACCCTATTGGTAACTATCAATTTTATTCCGACGCAATTGTCATACAATTTTCATGTGCGGTACTGCTAACGGACGACTAACGTCTGTTTCAAAACGCCTCATTTGAAAGCGCCCTAAGAGCTAAAGCACACGATGCGTTGCACACTGCAAAGATTTCGCCTTATCGCGCGACGCGACGCTGTACCGCTCACGTGCCTGTCACAGATATTTATATGAAAGATATAAGCCGCTGCAACGCATCGTGTGCTTGAGCTCTAATGTCTAAACGCTGCGCACGTAACATTGGAGGCATTATGTGTTCACTGTGGCGAAAGAACGCAACGAAATTCGTGTTGAATAGGGCCTTGGTACACATAAAACCCACTGTTAACGATGCTCGCGGGACATCAGCGGCAAAATGTGCCCACTGCACTGTAGCGAAATAACGCAATGAAGATTCTTAGTTTACATAAGGGCAACAGCAGACATGTTACATTTAGCATTAGTGATCGACGATTTTGCTAATGTATCGGTGCTGAATCACGTTTTGGCGACTCTCTGCGTTCTATAGCAGTATCGGAATCATGCGTTTTAGCGACACTATCGATGAAGCATCGCGATTTGGCGACTTCATGCGTTCGGACACGGTATCGGAATCGCACGTTTTAGCAACTGCTCCGATGCTAGATCAGCAAAAATCCCCAGAAGGGGGAAAATTGACTATGAGAAGGGACATGGATCAGATAAATTTGTAGGGATTCAAGCAAAGCGCCCGGGGAAAGAGCCCAGAGCAAGTACCCGCGCGCTCTCCCGAGATTCGGTTCGTACGCCGTGAGGCAGGAAGAACCATGGGTGGTATAGTCTGGTCCGTGAGCTCGTAGAATTCTGTCCAATGACCCTTAGCTACCCATCCTTATCGCTCGCGCGTAATTATGTTGCTATCGCGCTCGCACACTCACTGCGGACGCCCGTCGCACAGTCGCGACAGCAATATAATTACGCACGAGCGATAAGGATGGGTAGCTAGGGGTCATTGGACGGGATTCTACGTGCTCACGGACCAGACTTTAGTGGGATTTGTCTCGTCTCCTCTCCGCTTTGAAAAATGGTGAAAATAAAATGCCAGCTTCGCTACACCTCCTCTCGCCTTCGCTTTGGTAAAATGGGGCCTAAATTAGACATGGGAAAGTAACAAATAATAATAACTCACCCATCCCCACAGGACTAGGCCCGCCCATGTTGGGCGAGGGCGCGGAGGGCGAGGGACTCCGCCTCAGGAACTGGCTGGGCGGCGGCGCCCTGACCTGCGGGTAGCCGCCCACCAGCATGCCGCCCACCACTTCGGGCTTGTTCTGCACCCGCCCTTGCAATAAACTCACCCACGGGACTAGGCCCCAACGATAGCAGCCCGAAGTAGCGTATTTGTGGTGTCAAGCCCCAGAAGGGGGAAAATTGACTATGAGAAGGGACATGGATCAGATAAATTTGTAGGGAGTCAAGCAAAGCGCCCGGGGAAAAGAGCCCAGAGCAATTACCCGCGCGCTCTCCCGAGATTCGGTTCGTACGCCGTGAGGCTGGAAGAACCATGGGTGGTATAGTCTGGTCCGTGAGCACGTAGAATTTTGTCCAATGACCCTTAGCTACCCATCCTTATCGCTCGCGCGTAATTATGTTGCTATCGCGCTCGCACACTCACTGCGGACGCCCGTCGCACAGTCGCGACAGCAATATAATTACGCGCGAGCGATAAGGATGGGTAGCTAGGGGTCATTGGACGGGATTCTACGTGCTCACGGACCAGGCTTTAGTGGGATTTGTCTCGTCTCCTTTCCGCTTTGAAAAATGGTGATAATAAAATGCCAGCTTCTCTACACCTCCTTTCGCCTTCGCTTTGATGAAATGGGGCCTAAATTAAACATAGGAAAGTAACAAATAAAAACCAACTCACCCATCCCCACAGGACTAGACTAAAAACTGCGATGTGGAAGTCATTGGGGGAGATCCATCAGCAGTGGACCTGTGCCTGAAATGATGATGATGATGATGAAGACTCACCCATCCCCACAGGGCTAGGCCCGCCCATGTTGGGCGAGGGCGCGGAGGGCGAGGGACTCCGCCTCAGGAACTGGCTGGGCGGCGGCGCCCTGACCTGCGGGTAGCCGCCCACCAGCATGCCGCCCACCACTTCGGGCTTGTTCTGTACCCGCCCTTGCATGTGTAGCATGTTCAGATTTACGTTCTGGTTGTTGCCCATACCACCCACTGGAGAGATGGAATGGTGATAAAAAAGTTAATTAATATAGTCTGGTCTGCAACTTCTGCAAGCACGTAGAATTTTGTCCAATGACCCAAGCTACCCATCCTTATTGCTCGCGCGTAATTATGTTGCTGTCGCGCTCGCACACTTACTGCAGCCGCCCGTCGCACAGTCGCGACAGCAATATAATTACGCGCGAGCGATAAGGATGGGTAGCTTGGGTTGGACAAAATTCTACGTGCTCACAGACCGGGCTTTAGATCAATTTACTTTTGAGTTCACAATAAAATAGGTTTCGGTCCAGATGCACAGTCAGCGTTAAATAGTCCGTGATACCCAAAGTAGCCAAAAGTTCGCAAAACGTCTTTGTTACAGTTGGAATAAGGATGTGTTATCAACTTTTTGGACAAGTTTGGGCGTCACGAACTATTTGACGCCGATTGTACCAACAAAAACAAATGCTTACGTGACATTGGCGAAATCATGGTTCTCTATACCAAGTTGTTGCCAAAATAAAAGAAGAACAAAATGCAGAGTGAAAAAAAAGTAGCATTCGAATCTAACTTCCTCTTGGGAGCCTTGAAATTAGAGGCGTGAGGTAGCGCTGCACAGTGGCGCCACTGAAACGCAGTCGCGACGTTCGTTGCGATTCTAGAAATTGTAAACTAATAGTATTGATGACCCACGCTGAACTGTCCCACCAAACTCAATGACAGGGGGGCGCTACCATCGTTCAACTATATGGTTTCCAACATGGCAAAAATCGGAACCAGCGATCCGGTATTGACGGTGGCGCCCCACTGTCGATGTGATAGACAGGACAGTTCAGTATCTTGGAACTATAGTGCCACTGCAGCGCTTTTATACCTGTAATTTGAAGGCTCCAACTTCGAAACTATTTAAAAAAAATGATAGAATAAAAGAAATAGTAAACCATATACATAACATTAAACCCCCCCACAAATAGATAAGTTATCATTGTAGGTACAAATTAACATTTATTAAATGTTAAATACATCGTAATGTGTGTAGTTATCAGTGTGATATGAATGTTGTAGTTGTTACTGGATAATCGCAAGTCTGTCACGCATTAATTAGGACTCATTACAAAATTGTTGTGAGACATTGTTGTTATTACATATTACAAACATTTGTTTTTTTATATTACAGGAAAATATATGAAATGCGCTATTTGAAGTCTGTTGTCATGATTAAAGAAACTGAAATGGAAATGTTGGGTCTCAACTTTTGCGATTTTTCTCTCCTAAATGTGAAATATATAAATTACAGAAAAAAATTTTTTGGGCTATCACTTGTTTTTTTTTTACAGATTTCACATTTTCGCACAATTCGTAATAACTATGCAAGTAAATACTTGAAGGTTGGTAAGGTCAGTTACCAATAAGTTTGTTGACACCAACAAAACATTTGTTTTTTTTTAATATTATAGCCTGACCAGGAACATAAAAACCCTGGCATAGAGGCGGGTCAATTGCATTTGATAGTGCAACACTGAGTACAGTCGTACCTGTGTTAAATTAATAGGCTAACTTTATGTATCAGGATTCTAGATTACGGGCTAATTTGATATTTTCATAAATTAACGAAAAAATATTATTATAGGTAACCTGGTTTAAATAAATTAAATGAAACCATCAATCGAGTTAGTAGGATTTATTTTATTATTCGTCAATAATCAAATTCAGAACTTGAATATTCAACTGCAATGTGTGCTCATGAACGCTTCAAACTCGGTACTTCGTTCCCAATTCCATAAAATTCAACACTTAGAAAGTGACAAAAAACTTTAAAATAGGTAGTTGAAACAAACCACAGCTAATTTTCATAGTGGACTGTACTATACGATAAACATGTCAGTCAATTTGACAACCTTTGTCGGAAACATTATTCAATGAAAATATTGTCCGAACCCTTAGTATTTCTCTTCGACAAATACTTTAACACATTGTGAACCACTTTTCTTTCACGACTATAAAAAGATTTTAGCAATTTAATTCACAAAATCAATTGCGCACATTTAAAATAAAGTTTGTTTACACTTTGACAGCAATAGACTGACATGCAAGGTGACATGTCAATGAAGTTTTCAGTTACACTAGGCCCGCCCATGTTGGGCGAGGGCGCGGAGGGCGAGGGACTCCGCCTCAGGAACTGGCTGGGCGGCGGCGCCCTGACCTGCGGGTAGCCGCCCACCAGCATGCCGCCCACCACTTCGGGCTTGTTCTGCACCCGCCCTTGCAATCAACTCACCCATCCCCATGGGACTAGGCCCCAACGATAGCAGCCCGAAGTACCGTATTTGTGGTGTCAAGCCCCAGAAGGGGGAGAATTGACTATGAGAAGGGACATGGATCAGATAAATTTGTAGGGAGTCAAGCAAAGCGCCCGGGGAAAAGAGCCCAGAGCAAGTACCCGCGCGCTCTCCCGAGATTCGGTTCGTACGCCGTGAGGCTGGAAGAACCATGGGTGGTATAGTCTGGTCCGTGAGCACGTAGAATTTTGTCCAATGACCCTTAGCTACCCATCCTTATCGCTCGCGCGTAATTATGTTGCTATCGCGCTCGCACACTCACTGCGGACGCCCGTCGCACAGTCGCGACAGCAATAATTACGCGCAAGCGATAAGGATGGGTAGCTAGGGGTCATTGGACGGGATTCTACGTGCTCACGGACCAGGCTTTAGTAGGATTTGTCTCGTCTCCTCTCCGCTTTGAAAAATGGTGAAAATAAAATGCCAGCTTCGCTACACCTCTTGCCTTCGCTTTGGTGAAATGGGGCCTAAATTGGACATAGGAAAGTAACAAATAAAAACCAACTCACCCATCCCCACAGGACTAGGCCCGCCCATGTTGGGCGAGGGCGCGGAGGGCGAGGGACTCCGCCTCAGGAACTGGCTGGGCGGCGGCGCCCTAACCTGCGGGTAGCCGCCCACCACTTCGGGCTTGTTCTGCACCCGCCCTTGGAATCAACTCACCCATCCCCATGGGACTAGGCCCCAACGATAGCAGCCCGACGCGAAGTACCGTATTTGTGGTGTCTTGACACACTCACTGCGGACGCCCGTCGCACAGTCGCGACAGCAATATAATTACGCGCGAGCGATAAGGATGGGTAGCTAGGGGTCATTGGACGGGATTCTACGTGCTCACGGACCAGGCTTTAGTGGGATTTGTCTCGTCTCCTCTCCGCTTTGAAAAATGGTGATAATAAACTGCCAGCTTCTCTACACCTCCTTTCGCCTTCGCTTTGATGAAATGGGGCCTAAATTAGACATTGGAAAGTAACAAATAATAATAACTCACCCATTCCCACAGGACTAGGCCCGCCCATGTTGGGCGAGGGCGCGGAGGGCGAGGGACTCCGCCTCAGGAACTGGCTGGGCGGCGGCGCCCTAACCTGCGGGTAGCCGCCCACCAGCATGCCGCCCACCACTTCGGGCTTGTTCTGCACCCGCCCTTGCATGTGTAGCATGTTTAGATTCACGTTCTGGTTGTTGCCCATACCACCTACTGGAGACGGAAATATGATTTAAAAAATAGATGGTTTCACTATAAAAGAGGTTCCGGTCCGGGTGTACCATAGAAAACAAATACAGATTTGAAAAAAAAACCTCACATTTGAATCTAACTTCCTCTTAGGCCCCTCGCCCACGGCGACTTTTTGTCGCGCATTTCGTACTACATAAGTGATGCCAACGCGGTACTAACGCGCGACTGCGATATAAAGTCGCCGTAGGCGAGGGCCCCTAGTGTAGACGCACATTGGGCGACAGTCGCCTAATGTGCGCCTATACTTAAGGGCGCCTTCAAATTAGACCCTTGATGAGAGGTTGCTGCTCGTCTTTGTCACGATGTCACTAGTAGAGGCGCTGCAATTTCGCTTCAAAAAATTACAGAGTGCTGTCACAGCAGCGTTTCATTCATCTAATTTGAAGGCGCTCTTAGAGGCGTGAGGAGCGTTGCAGTGGCGCTACTGAAACGCAATCGCAGCGCTACTGAAACGCAGTCGCAGCGCCACTACCGTGACAAACGCGACTTGCGTTGCGTTTCTAAAAATTGTATGAACAACTAATAATAGTGCCCCAGTAGCGCTTTCTCACGCCTCTAATTTCATGGCGACTTAACTTCGAACCTATTTGGAAAAAAAAATCTTATGATTGAATAAAAAAAATAGTAAACCATACATTACTCCCCCCCACAAATAGATAAGTTATCATTGTAGGTACAAATTAACATTTATTAAATGTTAAACACATCGTAATGTGTGCAGTTATCAGTTTGATATGAATGTTATAGTTGTTACTGGATAATCACAAGTCTGTCAAGCATTTACAAAATTGTTGTGAGACATTGTTATTATTTATTACAACAAACAATTTGTTTTTTTGTATTACAGGAAAATATATGAAATGCGCTATTCGAAGTCTGTTGTCATGATGATTAAAGAAACTGAAATGGAAATGTTAGGTCTCAACTTTTGCGATTTTTCTCTCCTAAATGTGTAATATACATTACAGAAAAATATTTTTTGGGATATCACTTGTTTTTTTTACAGATTTCACATTACTGACACAAATAGTAATAGCTATGCACATAAATACTTGAAGGTTGGTAAGGTCAGTTACCAATAAGTTTGTTGACATCAACAAAGATAACATTTGTTTTTTTTATATTAATGATATTATATTGATCAGGTGTTAAAAACATTTTTACACATTGATGATTACTTTACCAAGTACAAAAATAAAATAAAAACAAAGTTCATGACTACTCACCCATTTGTCCTGGCATTTGTCCCTGCATGTTATTTGGCGCCATCTGTCCCCCCATACCGCCAACCACTTGATTGCACTGTCCCATTTGTTGTCCCATGGTGTTTGTGCCACTCATGGGTACTGACATGGTGTTTTGCATGGACATGTTGGGCATAATCTGGCCCTGCATACCAGGCCCAGCTAGTTGGTTCTGTAGTTGGCTTCCCATGGGGTTCCCCATGCCACCCATGCCTCCGATCATGTTGTTTCCCATTTGGCCCTAAAGAAATTAACACAATGCAATAAATCTCAAAACTGTCATTATTTAATTCTGTGAGGTGGTTAATTCATAAAAAATTAGGTACCTGATTTGGGACCATCCCCATTCCTCCTCCCATTTTGCTTTGAAGTTGCTGCATATTCATCTGAGGCCGTTGTGTTAATGTTTGCAATAAATTCGTGGCCGTCTGGGCTTGTGGGCCTCCTTGCGATACAATGGGGCCTTGTTGACCCATCTGGGGCTGCATGCCTCCCATCCCTGGGTTAGGTCCCATAACCCCTTGAGGCTGCATCTGGCCTTGAGGCCCCATATTCATCATCTGGTTCCTTGATCCTTGAGATGCTAAGTTCTGTAAGGCGTTGATGGGATCTGGGGCCAAGCCAGACTGGTTATTTGGGGCCTGTTGGGACTGGCCAGGCTGGTTCTGTACTTGAGGATTAGGCCCTGCTTGATTTTGGTTGGGTCCCTGCATATTTGGTGCACCCTGGTTTTGTTTTGGTTGAGCTGAAATTAAATTAAAAAACTTATGTTTGAGAGCAAACAAAATACGCAAGTACACGCTACACTTGGCAGACCTGCATTATCTATTACTCTGGATATTACTCACTAACTGCCTCACGCCTCTTATCACTCAGCGTTGGGTTATACGTTGTTGATTAACTATGTTTTATTTTGAAAAATGTGAGTTATCAACGTTGACCTATTCGTTAAAGTTTAATGTAGTGGAACATAATTACATATTAGTTTGCATAAAAATGGTTCAATATTTTGTTTGAATTTAAAATGATTTGTTTGATTGAGATTTTTTAAACATATTTTGGTAAAAAAAAATTCATCAATAAAAATAATAGATTTGTATGTGGGACTTTAAATAATAAGTACTAGTGAGTATATTGGTTTTCCCAATTGAACTATTCACAGTCAAAGAGACTTTTGCAAAATATAGTAAGTTTTAGAAGCATTAGCATCACATAAAATGAAATTGACTATTAATATCTTTCAAATAAAATGATAAATAATTTATATGTAATATTTTTTTCTTAAAAATACTTATGACTGCGACTTTAAGACACACATTTTTCAACTTGTCTTTGTCATCATTCAGTTTTGTATTCTTCCCATCTAATTCAATTAAATAATTAAATTAACATAAGCTTATAACTAAAGATATAAGTTAAGTAAATCTTGGTGAAATGTAAGCTATACTAAATTACATTACAGACAGTTGTGGAAGTGTCCTAACTAATGTATAGCAGTATAGCTGATACATCCAAAAATTCAGTCTTTTTTATTGAAATTAATGGTGAGGTATTTGAGACATAATTTTTTTGTATACTAAAGTACATTTGCTAAGGCAAGAGCATTCTAAATAAGAAACATTAGCTTTAGTAAAATAATCAAATCGTGGTGAGTAAGTATATTACGCTATCATCATATTTTAAGTGTATATAGCCTGATGTTTTACTTTATTGGTGTAAGATTTGGTGGCTGTCCTTAGTAAATGAATAAATCCACACTCTAAAGCAATCATTTCTCATTCACGTAATCAAATAAAAAGGACATTAAATACTTACACATCTCTCTGACATGCAAAATGAGCTTCGCAACCATATTCATGTACTCCTCACGTGTCTTGGCCTTCGTAAACACATGGTTCTCCATCTCACTGCTGTTTCTAGCAACTTGCATGCCCGAACGCTGAATGACTTCTTCTCTGTGAATCCATAAATTTAATTTAAGACTTACTAACCTGTTACAGAATGGATGGTTACTTTAACGATAAGAACTTTGTTTACTAGGGTATTAGCAATAATTCATGTACATCAAAGATACGGTAGATAAATAATAAACAAACAGAAGGTGTTTTCAAAACAAAAATACCCAAATACTTACATTTTCGTGACCACACCTTGACGAAAGCTTGGAGTTCGCCAGTTATTGTCATCTGACGCCATGGCATTAAACTGCTTTAAGTTATCCATTTTAATTTATATAACACAAAAACACACACAATCGGTCGATTTTCTTAAATTTGCATGGGAATTTCTAAATGCATTGAGTTGAAATTATCGCGTCCNTAAAACACCTGAAACACGTGTTGCCACTGTCACATGCGGCGAGCGCGAGTTGAAATTATCGCGTCCATTTCATTTTTGAGCTGTCAAAATTTTTTAGTGATACCCGCTACTTCCATCTGAAAATGTACAGTTTACGTGTAGATAAGATACCATTAAAAAAAAACAATTCCTGTTTTGTTTGATTAATATAAGCCTACCGCCTCCTACCTCAAATTATTTTTTCTTAGACTTTGGATATTTTTTTTTACCTACATCAAGGTTNTGATTCGGATATAATGACGTCACGCGGCCCTGCGTACGTTGACTTTTAGCGGCAAAAACGGCCTATGTTTATTATTTAATATCTTCGTAAGTAATGGTCCGATTTGGATAATTCAAAAAGATATATCTTTCTTATGTCTTAAAGATTAACGTAGATACTAGTTTTATTGAATTTTCTACAACAGTACTGATCCTCATTGAATCTATTGAAAACTTATGGATCAAAACTTAATAAAAAAAATCCTTCAAATTTTAATTGTAAAGTCAAAAAGAAAGTTATTTTCTCCAAGTTTTGAGGTCGAATCGCCTCTGCTGGCTGAGGCTTTAAAGATCCTGAGAATCAGTAAAATAAATGACTAATATTTTTAGTAAAAGTACATAAAATTATCAATGTATATTACTGTGGCAACATTTTTATTCAATATTTTTTAAATGAATATTTTAATACATACAAGCAAAGACATAATATGATATTGTTTTATTTGTTGTTAACTATAGATGACCCACGCTGAACTGTCCCACCAAACTCAATGACAGGGGGGCGCTACCATCGTTCAACTATATGGTTTCCAACATGGCAAACACAGATACGGATTAGAGTAGATACAGCAAGTTGCTAGTCAAAGCGTGCCATTCCGATATGTCCAAATGGACATACATGGTCGAGTGATGTTCATGTAATCCGATTACAACAATCGGATACGATGATTTTACGAGGACAGTAGTACGAACACGGTAGAGAGAAGAAATTAAATACGGATTGAGAATTGTAATTAACAGCAACGAGTAACAAATATGTAATCTATACATATAATAAATCTGTAGAGAGGTCAATTCTGTACATTAAATATATTTTCAAAATAACTATCAGGGGGTGATTAGTGATCGATACTGATGCCAAAAATGCAATCAGTAAAATTTTTGTCTGTCTGTCTGTCTGTCTGTNACGTTTTGAATTGCTCAAAAACAGGCTTTTCTTATTACTATAAGGCTGAGTTTCAGCTTGCTTTAACCGTAACTATAACTGGTGTTCTTTGTATGGAGTTTGACAGACTTTTGACGTTTGTTATAGTTAAAGTAAAATGGTGCAACCCAGCAGTGTTGTAGATGTAGGATGATGATGTTAACTTGAGTTGTAGAGTCTGTGTGCCTGCGCAACGCACGACGAGGTGTGTTTGCCACAAAACTTATGAAAGGAAAATCTCTATAATTGTTCTTTTATTTAGTTAGTTTTACTGTCAAAAACTGAAAATGAAAAACAACGACCGTACATCGTAGGCCTTTATTTTGTGTTAGAGATACCTTTGCCTGGTCACAGATTGTATAATCCTGGTATGTATAGCTAAATAATTTATGTAAAAAACTATTTCAGAGAAGTTTGTAGTAGGCATACCTAAATCTTATGAGGGATCCTTGTTCCAAGTTGTACTACCTCTCAAACTTTGATCTACTACTATCAAAGCAAAATACGATGTTGCTGACTCATGTGTCACTTTTGTAGTTAGGCAATAACTCCCGTATATCGATAGTTTTCCGTAGAGTTGTTTACCGAATCTAAGCGGATTTGATTTATCAAAGCCTCTACCAGCCGCACAGTGTGTTATGGGACTGTATAAACGGACATTTTCATTGATTTGATGAAACGTATAGAGCTCAGTTATACAAACATGATAGTAAAACTCCCGTTTGAAAATTCCACGTAGTTTTCGCGGTATAAAAATTCAAAGTTNGACGATATTTTGTTTTTGTTTTTATACAGTAGGTACCTATGCTTATGAGAGGTTTTACCAAGCATTTTTGTTGAATCAGCATAATAAAAAATGCATTATACATAGTTAATAAGGACATTTATTAATCACTTTCATCATCGGATTCCAAATTTTCGATGTTAAGAAAAGTTTCGTTGCCACTTTCATAAGCAGCGCTGTCATCATTCACATCATCATCTTCGCTGCTGTTATTATCGCCTAAGCAAAAATAACCAATTGTCTTGGTACAGGTCCATAAATATAATGGAAGGCTCATGAAGATTTGGTATTAGTTTTTCTTTAATCCACTTCGTGAAGTTATGCGCATTCATTTCTGAATGGTAGTCTTCCAAATTATTTCTGCCAGTGAATATGAGGAGGCAGTTTGGCACAAACCCCTTTTCGCTTCCAGCATGGACTATGATGTAACGCTTTCCTTTGAAAATGTCTTTTGTGATGCCTTTGATGTTTAGAGATTGCGAACATTTTGTGACCTGGTGGAAAAATAAATAGATTCTTGTTAGTGAAAATTTTATAAAATTATACATCTATACTCATATTATTAAGAAGAAAGATTTCATTTTTGGTTTGTTTGGATGGGGGTTTAAGGGTGTATAAGAGGGAGGGGGAGGGTGCAATTAAAATTATTTCATTATTACAATCTAAAAAAAACTGCTTAACATAGTCTATAATATTATATAGGTTACCTTGTATGAAGAATGAATATAGCTCACATCAAACAAAAAACATGCAAAAGATGAAAAATGTTATTAACCTACCTCTTTTTGTACCGTGTAAAAAATTATATTTTTTGGCGCAGAGCACAAATATTAAAATTATCCATTTCTTTCTTTGGTCGGCCTTGCCTGTGTTTCCCAGGAGTTCTAAATTTTCCATTATTCTGAAAACCTTCATTGACTATGCGCTTAACCGTACTCTCTGATTTTCCTGAAAAAAAAAAGTTCAAAGTTTAAAGGGATGGAAAGAATAACTACAATACCTAACTAATATTATTTATTGTTAAAGATTTACCAACAAGATATCATTTCACATGCATTTAATAATAAGAGCTAAATCATAATCATAAAAAAATATTTCAACAAATTATTATTTTTGTAGACGGACAACTTGATGTGAAAGTGATGTCATACAGTTATCAATGGCCAAAGCGAACGGGTAATATAGATATGAAGCAATTAATTCAAATTCAAAATTCGTAGAAAACTTGACTGAATTAATATATCAAAAGAAATGGTCGTACTACAATATTACGTACTTACAATGAAAATTTAACCTAAAAATGTCCTATGTAAACAATGCCTGTTTTGGTCACCAAATCGCAAAATGCAGTAAATTTGTTACTTTAGGTAGATTATAAACAAGCAGTAACACGATTACGTACCCGTCAAAGATGCTGTTCGCCCATAAAAAACATCAAAATCCCACAAAATTTGACCAGCTTGGTACTCCGCGGAACATTGCTGGAAAACTTTAAAAATCACTTTCCGCGTGGCACTCCAATTTACTTTACTCATTGTTTATACTTTTCTTCGTAGCTGAGTAATAATTTACAGGAGATTAGTCAAACAATAAAAACCACAAAATGAAAATCGTTCCACAACTTGTTCTCGATGACAGCTGATGTACATATGTTTGGTGATCTTTGGTGTTGCCAGACACATGAATAATGTTAGTTCCTCAAACATTCATGTCACGACTTTATAGACAGACCGTAAACTACGCATTTTTACATTTATTAAAAATAAAAAGCTTGAGTAAAATAGACTTTATTTTATGAAAGTAGGTCATTTACTTACTAGGATATTTAAAAGTATGGAATTAAGTATGAATTACTAGTAGTACTATTTAACATAATGGAATAACGATAATTACTTTCATAAACATTAGGCACAACAAAAATATTATTTGCAAATTAATAATGTAGAATTGTAGAATAACGTCTACCGCTACATAATTATTTTAATCCACAGTCAGACTAGCTATAAATTTAACAAAATATCAGTTTTATTTTTATTTTTATTTTTTTTGGGATGGACTGTCCCGCTGAAGCGCCCAGGGCGCCACGCAGTGATTCTGCCAATGTCAAGTAGTTAGAGAGATACTATCAGTTTTATTGGAATTAATTAATTTTTGAATCGAGTCACACGATATCATTCGATGACTTTGCGAATGCATTACGATGATACGATTACTTTTACGTTGCGGCAATCACTAAAATTCGCTAAAATGACACTAATGACGTTTAAAAAGTGGCACGCTCGGCTTCATACAGATTTTGACACATGCTGCATCTATCTTTATCTGTGATGGCAAAAATCTGAACCAGCGATCCGGTATTGACGGTGGCACCCCACTGTCAATGTCATCGACAGGACAGTCCAGTATTTTGGAACTATAGTGTCAATAATTCACAGTGTTATGAAACACATAAATATTTTTAGGTGTTTTATCTGATTAATCATATTCCTATGTCATTTAAATATATAGATGACCCACGCTGAACTGTCCCGCCAAACTCAATGACAGGGGGGCGCTACCATCGTTCAACTATATGGTTTCCAACATGGCAAAAATCTGAACCAGCGATCCGGTATTGACGGTGGCGCCCCACTGTCAATGTCATCGACAGGACAGTCCAGTATTTTGGAACTATAAAAAGTTTTTTTTGTCACTGTGTGGAATAGTGTTGTATGGTTGCCGAACATCCGAGATCAAGCGATAATATTCAATCGATTATGCGGTAACGTATGTTCGTTCAATTCTTCCCAAAAGACGTCTGCTGCTGGAAAAAGCCTCCTCCAACAACTTTTGTTTTTATATAATATCATTGTCCTCCAAGGATTTCAATAACGTTGTTATCAACGTTACGTTTATGTTTTAAAGTTACGTTTATTACTATTGATTTTCAAATAGCTATGATTATCAGCAGTTATTATTTTTGTTAGTATTTTCTACGAGTGTTAAATATTATATTTGTGATTTGCGAACTATGGCCATGTACAATTAATCGATAATATTATCGATTATCAATATTAAACGATAATACTATCGATTTGGTTACACTCACAGAGCAAAGTAATACATGGTTACACTATTATTTGATTTGACAATTTTGACAGTTGAAATAACAACAAGTGTTTTTGGCGGATTTGTGTTTTGTGTTTTTCCATGTGATTTTCACAAGAAACTTACCATGTCGACGGTACTTCGTGTGAAGCGCAAATTGGAGGATAATCCTCAAGATGCGTTGGTGTTATTATGCAAACGGATGAAAACAAATTCTGAAGAGATATCACCTTCGCTTTTTGTGTTTCTTGGCACTGTCGATAATCAGGTTAGCATTATCAACAGTTTTATATAAAAACACTGCCTCGACATTTCTATAAGAGTCTAAATAAATGTGTATTTTTCAGGAAACAACAAGTGTCAAGCAAGTTGTTCCAAAATCTGAGTTGAAATTGAAGTCATCTCACAATGTGAATGATATTATTGAGAAGATAAGGAAAGACAGAAAAGAAGCTTCAACTGAAAACCGCTACGAGGTTGTAAACTGCAGTAGAGGGTTAAAAGACGATAGTAACAAGGAAACTGAAGATCTGTTTGATTTGGTCGATTTAGAAAGGAAGGATGAAGTTCAGATGGGCGTTCAATATGCATACGATTTGTACAAAGCTGCTAAACAGGACTTTGATGTGTCCATGTTAGATAATCTGGTCAGGTAAGTTTGTTTCTAGTTAATTCAGTCAGCTTTTGGGTATTTTAGCTACCTCCAGTAATGTTTAAAATTAAGAAATTACTTTCAAAAGGTATAAGTTTTAAGTACAATATTTTTTAGTAATTTTGATGGTCCATGACCTAAGAGTTAATTTTATTGACCTTATTTTTTAATGGTCCATGACTGAAGAGTTATTTAGTTTCACCTTCTTTTAATATCAAATTAATATTCAACAAACAAAATTGAGCCTATTTTCTCTATAAATAAAATATAATTTGGTTTCATTGCAGTATAGAAAACTATGAAACTAACTTGATATATGGGTCATATCGAGATAATGGGCTGCAGCCGTCAGACAGCGAAGCAGACGATGATGATGACTCCAACGATGAGAATAATTGGAGGAACGAATACCCTGATACAGAACACAGCAGCATTGATGAAGATGATATGATCAAGGCCATGGAGAAATGTGACATTGGTAAATATTTCAAAATAGAATGACTATGACAAATACTGACGTATTTATTGTTAAAACATTATTGCATAAATAATAAAAAAATATGAAATAAGTATTGGAAAAAAAATTACATCTCTTCAAAATCTTCGTTGAAATTTTCTGAATCGCTATCTAAAATAAGTGTAATACATTTAAAATATTCACTGACTGTACGGTTTAAGTTAATTTATTTAATACATCCCATAATTTACAATTTCAGAAGATGATCTTTCAAGCGATACCGGTGAAGACAAAATATACGACGATCCACCAGATATATTCAACCAAGATGCAGAGCGTTACGGTACTGCATACGCCAAGTACAAAGCTAGAGTGATGTCAGAGGACGGAGAAACACAACCGAAGAATTTGCTCCTCTGTTCCACCGTCAAAGATTTAGACGAAGAGTCTGTAGATGGGTACAAAGTAAGTAATTTTGATACTTTAAAAACAAAACACTTTCAAAATATTGCATATTCAGCAAGTTATCACTTGATATTCCATTTTCAATTCCATTGCTGTATATTTTGAAACTTCAGTACATATTTTGATGAGTAAGCAGATCTATTGATCTTGCTAATCTTACTATTATTATAAATGCGAAAGTTTGTATGGATGTCTGGATGTTAACATGTTTGTTACTCTTTCACGCAAAAACTACTGAACGGATTTTGATGAAACTTTACAGTATTATTCTTTCAAATCAAATCAATCAAATCAAATAATTTATTTGTAACCCAGAATAACATATTATAGGATATAAATTAAGACGATCTGTGACAAACTAAATTTCACGCGGGTGAAGCCGCGGGCAAAAGCTAGTTGTCAAATATAAAAGAACACAACAGTGTAGTATTTTCGAAGTATTTTTACTCAGAAAAGACTTTTCAAAGTATGAACTGACGTGTGAAGGCGCGGCAATCGCCTAGGCTAGACGGTCGTTGTAGATATCTCTTTGGACCTTCTCTTTGGCCCTTCGCCCATAAGTGCACCGTTTTACGATACAAACCATGAACATTTAAAAATACTGCTCCTTCTTCCAGGGTGACAGCGATGATGGCTTCTACTACGGTCAAGATGAAGACACAGAGCAGTTCCGGGAGCAGTATGGAGACGGATCCTCAGATGAGTACAGCCCAGATTGATTGAACACTTACCAATATTATTGTTGCTAGTTTTAAGCGGAGATTATTGTACTGATTTTATAAGAATATACTGTTATACAAAGATGATTTTTGTGTTGTTGATTATGCATGCTGAAAATATGAAATTATCCAATTAAGTTTTGATGACTAAAGTAATCGCGATGTTTATAAATGAGTTACATTATGTACTCACGGAGTACATAATGGAGCCGTGAGTACATAATGTAACTCATTAATAAACGTCGCGTTAAGACCCGTGTCTTACTACTTTAGTTGAAATGGAACTCGCAAGTTTAAAATCTTATAAGTTTTGATGTCGGTGTACTTGTGCCTGCGTTGGGACTCGAACCCGCAATAATTGCAAGTAACAAACTGAACCACTAGACCAGCGAGCGCAGTCGCGAATCACATCGAACGAGGGTAGAATAAGATTAAGATCGGTAACGATAGATGGCGCTACTCGTTTTCTGTAAAGACGAAAATTGCCTATTTCGTTGCGGAGATCGAATCCACGACTACTGCATCCGTTTAGTTGTGGAGTTCTCAACCAGTGCGCTAAATTGGTTTCGGAAGAATTTCAGAATTGCACTATCTTTTAACACTAAGCGTACACGCGCCCCTTTTTTACACCGGTACGCTGTATTTAGCGTAAGTTTTTAAAAGTTATCTATAACTTTATTCTAATAAACTGTTACCCTGGTCTACAATAGTAGGCCGCGAGTGCTATTAAAAGAACAATACCAGTTATTAAAAGAACTGCTTTGCTAAATCGTTTAAACTTTTATTTAACTGCAACATAGAAAAATAAGTAGGCTAATTTTAAGGCCCATTTGGGAATCGAAACCAGATCCGGATAAGGCCAGGTACTTTGGAAAAGGTGTTCAAAGGAAAACCACACATTTAATATGTGATAAATAATTTATTGTCTGGCATATTTTTTACAATATCATCGTATGTCTACCTCAGTTATTGATATAACTTTTACACGTATTATCACTTTATTAACACTCTATGATTACATTTAGTTTTTGAAATTTCGTACACATTTTATAGCCAAATGTAGCCTTGAACGCTTTTGAAGTACAGTCGAGAGGAAAATTCTTAAATTGAAACGATAAGTTACGCATTTTTATTGAGATACGTTAAAATATTTTTCGAAGCAGCGGATTTCAACCAGTGATAGAGTAGGTAAATATTTTGAAATAAGTTTTTAATATCAAAAACGTCCAAGGAGTTTTCTATTGCATTGCATTGCTTGAAAGAAAATGAAAAAAAAAATTACAGGAAAAAATCTTTTTTTATATTGTGGAGCCATATTTTTTTATAGTCGGTTCAAGCAATATGCGTCTAAATGGCAAAGTTTTTTACGGCGTTATTCGAGATGCGGTCTTATTGAAACGTTTAAAGTTTACAGATTATGGCACGTTGCATCAGATGCTGCGTATTGATATGTACTCACAACAAATTGCATAAGTTTGCTTACATCGACCGATATTGACGCCCCATTTTTCTACTAACGGTCGCACCCGTCAATGTATTTGAAATAATGCAATGTTTTTTGTTTGGTTACATATTTTTTTACATAAATGTCATGATAAATTACGTCTATCCGTGTACAGTCGTCGACGAAAATGTTAACGATTTTTTTAAACTTTAAAAAACTGCACACTTAATAAACATGAAGATACGTCACAGCAGATCAATGTATTGGTCACTGTACCACCACTGTTGTTATCCCAACAGATTCGAGACTCATTCCAATTCTACATAGACAAACACAAAAGTTATTATACGTAGGTAATCCACGAAATAAGTCTTGTATTCACTTACACCTATACTATAATTAGTGAGATACCTATAAATGCAAATTACGATTACTCTAGCAATGCTTTGGCATAGACAAAACATGGTATTTTGCTTATTGTTTTATTTAAACGTTGTTAAATAAGTGTTTCGTTTTAATAACTTCAACTACTGAACATAGAAGAGAAAAATTTAATTGTTAAAAAATAGTTCATTCGCAATAAATAACTACAAGTCAATTCAATCAGAAGTCAAAAAGTGAAGGAATAAATGGATAATTTACTACAGTTTATGAAGTATTTTTTGACAAACCTGGCAAAATTTAATTTACTTTCCTCTCACATAGACAATGATTTCAATTAGTGTCACATTGCAAGAGTTCATATTGCAAGTGTCTATGGTTTTATTTCTGGTTTACGTGAATAATAATAAATATAATTACTTAAATAATGTCTTTCAAATTCAAAATACCTTTTCTTTCAATAGCAAACTAAGCTTTCAGCCTAGAACAAAGAAATAAGATCACATACATAGCCTATTAATGAATAATAATGAGAAAACCACTGGTAGGTAAAATAATAATTCTGGAATGAGCATTAGATCGCTTTACAAGTTATAGAATACAATAATTCATCTAGGATTAATAATTAATAATAAACAAAATTAACAACAAAGAAAGAACAATTACTTAGAACAAATGGTAATAAAATTTAGTTACAATGTAATAATATCTTTACATATATTTACAATTTGGTAATTTTTAACGTATACTAATACAAAGACGAAGAGGTTAACTTTTAACTATTAGTAAATTTACAATAACAAGGTCCGTAACATAACGTGTTTACACTTGAGGGCTCGCTTGTACAGTCACGAGAAAATGTGCTTATTTTTCATTGGAAGTTAAGCTGTTATTTATTACGGATAAATAAATTGCATTGTGTATTTAAAGTTTTTTGCTCATGACTGTACCTTGCGAAGAGCAACCAACAACTCATTCACTCTCTCACTCACACGAGTGTAACGTCAATTTGGCTTGATATGCGGGATCCAATTAAACATTATCCGATTATTGCACACAATTGATTACAAATCCGTAGTGGATACACTTTTGACTATTCTAGCATAGGAGAAACGTTAAGCAAACGGAAGCATAAGTTATTTGCCAGCGTAATTCCAAATATTCAGATTCAGTAGCCAATGCCCGGAGAGTTAAATGTTCACTTCTATTGCGTTTATAAAAGTTGACTCTTTGTTTGAGTGGTGATGTAGTACATGAAAAAATATTTTAGAAGAACCAGCTTGAGGTTCTTCAAAAGTAAATCAACTAAGGCCCTTGGCAAATCAAATCAAATGGGACGCGACCATCGACTCTATATTCAGAAAATAAGTTCAAGTTTTTAGAGCACCACGAGTACCCGCTCTATCCTATGTAAAATGTCGGTTACAGGTTGGCTTAGCAAATGCGTGGACCAACCACAGTTTAAACATTTCTGTAACATGGTTTCATGAACGCAATAGTGAAGTGAAAATCTAACATCTCCCAGGGCAATCTCAATCATCTCATAGCACAGGCGTGTCCGTGACCCTTACCGGCGGCGGAGCAGGCACGTTATTATTCGCGGCCGTCTCCTGATTGTTCGCTGTGCAGTAGAACTGCTTATGTGCCTTGAACGTGTTGACGTATTTGAACGAGATGTCGCAGAATTTGCAGTAGTTAGGCGTTTCTTCTCCTTCTGCCTCTGGTTCTTTTTTGATGTCGACGACGGGGACTGGGGAGGTCTGGGTGGGTTCTTCAGGTTCTGGGTCTTCCGTTGCGTGGACAAGACGCGCGTGGCGAGCCACGTTGCCGCGGTAGGTGGATGTGTAGGCGCAGCTGCCGCAACGGTGGACTCGCTCGCCGCCTGCTGCGGGACTGGGAGAGGTAACCTCGCGGTTATCCTCTTCTAACACGCACGCGATGTAGCTTTCTTCCTGGAATTGAGAGGAATTGACGGTTAGTTTTGGAACGTTTGGGGTTAAATACTGAGAGACGTGATTTAAGAAGACATTGCAAGTTCCAGATTCTAAGCATCGATCAAGGTTCCACCAACATGCTTTTGTTTTAGTTGTGAGGTGTGCAAATAGCTCAAAAATTAGGGAATCACACACGTGGCGTAATCTCAATTTGAGAGATTTCTCACGCTAATCAGATTTGTGTCTTATTTTGTGTTGTAAAATGTGTCTTATTTTCTTCAATAACTAGATTTTATGGAAAAAATATTATCAATAATTACATTTCAACTCACCTGCAAATCGGCAGGCTTCTTATTGTTGAAGTGCATGCGTATATGCGTGCGCATCCCGCGCAGCGTGTTGCCGCGGTACCGGCAGATGGTGCAGCGGAAGGCCTTGACGCCCGCGTGTGCCTCCATATGCCGTTGGGCTGCCGCCGCCGTCGGCGACACCACCTCGCAGCACGGGCACTTCCACCCCCCCTCGGCCCCCGCCCCCGCCGCAGGCCTAGGCAGTTCCGGCGCCGTCCGCGGCGACCGCGTCTCCCTCTTCGTACAGTAATACGACTGATGCGTCGTCAAATTGTCCAGCGAACTGAAGTGGATCCCACAAGCCAGGCAAATCAACTGACGATACTGCGGAGGCGGCCCCGGCTCCGCTGGAGCCGGACTCGCTCTATCCTCCCCGCCCCCAGACGGACAGTAGTGCCGCTTGTGGATGCGGTAGTTCTCCAACTTGCAGAAAACAATGTTGCACTCCTTGCATTTCGACACGCCTTGTTTAACCAACACCTGGGGCGACGCAGACACGGTCACTGGCAGTTCACTCGCCAGTCTCAACGCCAGAGCGGGGGGTATGATCGGGGGCGGGACGACGGGACTGAATTTTTCTTCCGGTGGCGAAGGCACACTTGGTGGCTTTGGGGTCGGGCCTCGAGAACTCAGTCGTCTTCTTTTAGTCGGCTGGGGTTCGCCGCAAGGAGAGGACGACCGCCTGGATGGAGACGGCGTTCCTGGCGATCCCGGCAGCGAGGGAGCACAGACGATCTGCTCGGGCGTCGTTGAACGTATCCTGTTCTCCTTTTCGTGCTCATCAGTCGTTACAGATTCAGGCGACCGTCGCACGCTTAAATCTAGCGGCGTGGCACCATCTCTCGAGGGCTCCCGGGGCCTGTTAGCCGATTTCAAGACTTCAGGTTCTTTCCCTTCGGTCGTCATATTTGGTAACGCGCGGCTGAGAGGCTGGAATGTCCCGTTTGGTAACAGAAAGCATGGAGTGTCCGGGTCCGGTAGAGTTGTACCTGGGAGCGTGCTGGCGCTCCGTAATAATGAGTAAGGTACGATGAGAATCGGATTGGTAGGTAGAGCGAGTGCATATTGCGCCTGCGCTGGGGGTGTCGCTCCGGGCGAGGGAGGCGCGGACCCAGACGTGGCTGAACTGGCTCTCGCCGTCGCCACCGCCTGCTTGACGACCTGTCGAGTGCTGCAGTAGTGCGCTTTATGCGCTCTATACGTTTTGATTGAACTGAATCTTATATCGCAGTCGGCGCAGTAGCGGTCTTGCACGAGCGGGCCGTCGGCGGGGGCCTCGCCGTTGGACGTGGGCGTCGGCGCCGGAGTCCCGCTGCTGGCCGGCGACGGCGCGTGCATTCGCATGTGCCGGTTTAAACTGACTTTCTTGTCGGCGCTGTACGAGCAGAGGTTGCAAGTGTACTGCCTCGCAGTGGCCGGCCGCGGAGTTTTCGCGTCGCTGCTGGATTCATCCGCAGCTGGGTCAGCAGGCGCATCAGTGCCCTCCGTCGGCTTGGGTCTCCTGTTTGAGCAGTAATGTTCTTGGTGCGCTTGAAGGGTACTCAGGGATGAGTATCGTATTCCGCACGGCTTGCACATGTACCCGGGCGCCGGAGCCGCCGGGAACAGGGCGGGGAAGGTTGCAGATAGAGCCAGGAAGTCTCTCGTTTGTTGCGGCACGGGAGGTGGCGGGGGCGAAGGCGAGGGCGGCTCATGCTTGAGGGCCGCGGCCTGCGGGGCCAGCGCGGGGTCGGTGGCCAGGCTGGTGTTGAGGCGCAGGCGCGGCGGGGAGGCCCCGGGCGAGCCCGCGGACGCCGGCGAGGCGCCTCCGCTCGAGGCCGCGCGCTCGCCCCCTGAGCTCGGCGTGCGAGGTTCTCCCGGCATCGCCTCGCTCTCGTTTCCCCATTCCTCGTCCTCACCTGCAAACAAAAGCGTATCGTTAATGCACCGTCCGCGGAATCAGTTTCGCAAATGGAATAAAGAATCGCAGCCGGTATCTTCCTATTAGTGTTGTTAATAGCCGAGCGATGCTGAGCTGGCGGGGGTTTTCTCGCGATAGTCGTCACTCGTCACGTTTCGCCCGCTATCTGTCGACGTCAGTCAGATCGGGGTTCGCGAGTCGAGGCATACATTAGCGCTCCTAATTGAGACGTGCTCGCGCTATGTAAATGTCGCCGCGTGGGTGGGGCCCGCGTTCGCTTAACGAAATGCGAGAAATGCGGCCTTACGAGTTTGCGTATTTTACAAATTTCAGAAATTCGGCCGATCCGTCAATACGAACCGGTCGTAACAATACTCGTCCATCAATATCGCGAGCGTGAGTCAGCCCGCGGGCAAACAGAACAAAAACTTAACGGGCCCTCATGTAATTGGATCTGATTTCCAGAAAACGTTCGCTCACCTTCCTTTTTGAGAGACAACGATCTCTACCGAGCAAGGAATTAACCTATCTTTCGTGCAACGATCTCGACTCAAAACGCCAATTAATGAGAGGCTCAACTTCATTCTCCTTCCCCTGTGAAGATCATTATATGGGCACGACAGCGAGATGGACGCGACGATTGGTGCGCGCGCGACCGCCATCTCGCGGTAACGAATACCATTCGGATCGGATTGCGTTCGGGTCACGCTATCCTAGTGTTAGCGCGTCGCGATTGGTCATTACGATGCGCGGTGACGCGCGATTGGCCGGCTAATGCTCTCCATCGCGCTTAATGTCGCCGTCATACCGGGGGCGCGCTTATCGCCGTTCGTTAGTCGTTCCAGCTTCTGTTTTTCGCTAAATAAGTTATAAGCTTGTGATTGTTGCTGGCAAAAAGGTTGAACGTGCAATCAGATAGATGGCGTGACTGAGTGTCGTTTATGCAGCGCTCTCGAAACTCAACGTCGATTCGTTAAATGATATTCATCTGTACCCTTTTGTCTTTATAAACATGTCAAATAATGGCCGTACCCGAGAGGTTACATGCATACGTGTATTGTACTTGTTTAGCTAGTGCCCGCATTATTTGTCTAGAAATTAGACGAGTGACATTGCTACATGTTGCCGTTCTTTGAATACAAAGAGAACAGATAGTGGAGTCATGCTAAACCTAGGTTTTGTATTAGATTTAATATGGCAAAGGCGGAGTGTATTGTAAATCTACGATGTAGAGTATTTTAACTTAGCAACAGCATTGTTTGGGTCAAAATATAATTTTGTGTTTAATTAATCTTGCTCATGAAATAACATTTGTTTCAGACTATCTTTAGATTAATTAGATTTGCTATCAGCTAAAAGATTGCCTTTTAGATTAGCTCCTCCTGTAGGTAACATAAAACAAAGAATCAGTCCCAAGTATCTGTTTGAAAACATTGTGATTCAGCTTTCGTTCGAATCGGAATCAATAACAGCGGCTCAAACACGTGCCTCCCCCCAAAAAGTACAAAACGCGTCTTGTCTCTGCTTATCAGATGGAAGATCGAGCCCAATTAAAATAGTCGTGCATCGGGCGCGTCACAATCGCGCGATACCGATCTGTGACTGTGACGCCCGTGACCGATCACATGGAGTTTGGGGCTACTACGGGTGTCACTTGAGTGACAACGGCGAGAAAGGAGTGAGAATCGAGTGACTTGGAAGCGAGCGAGTTGTGAATCAAACCTGGCCACAGAAAAGCTTCTAATTTTGAACTTCATTTTTTTTAACCAAACATTTCACCTCTTGAGATAAGCTGCACCTCTTTTTAATTTAAATAGCTTTTTTGTTACAGGAAAAACGCTTTTTATCTAGTTGTTTCAGTAGGGACTGCTGTAGCAGTTTATATTTTTTTTTTACATTTAGTATATTGACGAGGTGAGGTTTCTTTAATGCTTCAGCAATATGAGACGCTACAAAATTCAGGTTAGAGTCGTTGAAGTCTTTGGCTGAGTTGCACCAACTTACTTTGACCGTAACTTTCACAATAACGGGTTCTTTTTTTTGTATGGAGTTTGACAGATTTTTGACGTTTGTTAAAGTCAAAATAAGATGGTGCAACTCAGCCTTTGTGCTCATTATTTATAAGTGATTCAAGTTCGAGTTACCGTAGTGTCTCTATCCCCAAATGCCAGGTACACCTTGAACTGAACTGATTGTCTGTTGATATGTTTTGCCGATAGCCAACGAATTCGATCATTGAATGTAAAATTGAATCTAATTGGTATTTCGAGTGAGCATTCCAATTTAACTTAGGTAATGTATGTGAGACGAGTTATAAAGTTTTGAAACCTATCATAGAGTCGTTGGACCTGTGTGATATTTCTCTATTTTCATCATCATCATCATTTCAACCACATGACGTCCACTTCTGAACATATGCCTCCAATGACTTCGACATCGCCCGGTTGGTAGCGGCCTGCATCCAGCGCCTACCTGCTACCTTTATGAGGTCGCTTGTCCACCTTGTGTGTGAACCTCTCACGCTGCGTTTTTCGGTACTCTACCTTCAACTACCCTCAAATTAGTAACTTCTGCAGAGTTCTGCCATAGTTAGATAACCAGAACCTTAGCAATCAAATTGAAACCTAAATCTTTTGTAACATTGACCTAAATAAAAACTAAATCGATTGTTCCCATGCACCGAACTAGTTTAAACCAAATAAAACCCATTCCGAATGGACTATTAAGCTAGTTTATGCAAATCCACTTGAAACTTAGCGAAGATACCATGTTTTGCGGTGTTTATCGACAAGTAACTGATCGGTGAACTGATAAAGGTAGAGTTGCAGTGCATTTGGGGCTTAAAAATATTGTTTAAGATTTAGTTTTGCGCATTAGCTTCGTATTGCATGGTGTCATATTGCATATAGGTACAGTCAGCGTCAAATAGTTCGTGACACTCAAAATTGCCAAAAATTCCACAACACATTTTTGTTGCAATTGGAATAAGGTTGTGTTGTCAACTTTTTGGCCACTTTGGGTGTCACTATTTGACGCTGACTGTATCTACCTTAGTATTTTTTGTAAACGTGATTAAAACTTATTTAAAATTGATACGTCATTTTAAAGTTTTTCCATCATTTGTTAGGGTCGCTTTCGGTATGTTTCATGGTTTTCCTCTTTCTTTTCTTTCTTTCGTTTAGATTTGTTTCCAAAAAAACTTTATATCAAAACACTTAAAGGGTGCTATGATTTAAAAGATAGATCATTTGCTTGAGTGTATGATACGAGCCAGTAACCAGTATTGAAACAAAAGCATCTACGAGTATCTCTCAAACATGGTCACCTCAGTATTTATCTTCTAAAAACAATCAAACAGCGTGTCGACTTAGCGTCACTGCGTTACGGGCGCCATTAGCGTAGTGTTGCCAGTAAAAAACTACCAATAAAAACTACCATCGAAGAAATAAGTACACAAATAAAGAGTCCAATGACAAAGACGACGTCGATATTATCGTCGCTCAACATCTTGATTTATTTAGTTTGTTCTGTTACAGAGTTTTGTTCATCTATCATATATTCGACACATGAGCGGAGTTCATAAGCGACTTTAAACTTTACTCAGAAGTGAGTAAGGTTTTAAATGGGCTGATAAAGTGGGTAGAAGTGAAACCGTGTGTGTTGAGACTGTTATATCCGTGACAACATCATAAAGGTGTTTAATAGGAGCAGGATCAGAAATACTGATGAGTTTCTAGATTTGGAATTTGAATGATGACCCATTACAGTTACGGTACTTTTAATTGATGCTGTGTTTTTCTTTGAAGAAATGTATTAGGTACATAAATAAATATTGATACAAGTGTCGTTCACTTCGGTTTTTTTATTAGTAAGCTTTTAGTACAAAAGCTCTTAAGCGTACTTACTACTTACTTAACGATGAAAAATTTCCAATCTTAAGAAATAAGGAAGTAAATTATAAATTATGATGTAATGAAGATCTAGAGATAATTATTTTAACACTTATTGTTGATGTATTTGTAAAGGTTTTTTGACCCTAGGTTATAGGAATTCTCAGTGACTCGAGCAATATTAATGAGAGTTAATGCTACTTACAATCAGTTGCAAAACAATTTCTATCAGATATCTTGACCAGTTTAACCGAGTTATAGGCATTTTCTGACCCATTTTCTCAGCCTTTCACGTTGAGCTTAATAATTTTTGTATTTTGCCAAAACTACTGATTCGTTGTCAAAATTCACGCGGGTTGAATTTTGAAAAATCTCGTCATAGTGAGCACCTACGTTCTAAAAGAAACCCCCATGCAAAATTTGAGACTCCTAACACTTGAAGTTTCTGACATTTAGGGATGAGTGATTTACTACAGGGTGTCTCGTAAAGAGCGTGCCAAACGTAAGGAGATGATAATGGGTGACCATACAAAATACAAAAAAATAATAATTGAAAAGCATCTCTATTTCAGATACGGTCTCCTTAAGTTTGACACTCTTTAAGGGACACCCTGTATAAAGATAAACAAAAATAAAATAAAAGAAGTGAGTATAGCGATGCCTGTATCACTATGATGTGCGGCTGTCCGCGCGTGCGTCACGATCGCGCATTAACATATCGCGCGGTATCGCCTGCCGCGCTATCGCAACTGCAACCCTGTTGCTTTAAGTTTCTTTCTTTGAAATAAAATTATTTGTAAGAATAAATGGCTGTGGATGAATGCTATGCAGGGGTAAGTTTTGTGTGAATAAAATAAAATAACCATTTAAGATATTTGAGAACATTTGAAAAAGAAAACTGGTGTAAAATTTACGCAAACGCAGTAGTTAAAATTGCCCGATTGCGTCAGAAGGAGGGTTGTATAACTAACTATAAGATCTTACTTATGAATTATGATGTTTTCTTTAACTTACGCTTTGGAATTAGAAAACAATTACGCAGTGAGCGGTAAAGCAACGTTAAGCTTGTAGATGTCACCTTTTCTGAAATCTACGTTCCTTTTTGTAG